TTGCACCACTTCTGGGGGGAGCCTATTCCACAGTCTGAACACCCTGGCTGTGAAGAAGTTTTTCCTGATGTTCAGCCTGAAACGGTCTTCCAGCAGTTTTATGGCCATTACTCCTGGTTATCCCCAAGGGTGCCCTAATGAACAGTTGCTCACCAAGCCCTTGATGATATGCCTCTGATGGTAGCGGTAAGCCGATATCAAGTCCCATCTCAGCCTGCTTTTTTTTCAGGTTGAGGAGTCCCAAGTCCCTCAGCCTTTCCTCATGTGGAAGTGCGGTTCCCAGTACTGGATGCAGTACTCCAGCTGGAGTCTCACCAAAGCCAAGTAGAGTGGAAGAATCAGTTTCCTAGTGTTGCTGTATATGCATTGACTGATGCATGCCAGGGTATTATGTGCCCTGTTGGCTACGGCGTCATACTGCCAGCTCATATTCATACTGTGGTCTGTTATTACCCTGAGGTTCCTTTCATTCATGGTGCTGGTCAGTTTGGCTTTGCCAAGCCTGTAGGTGTGTAGGGAGTTTTTTGTCCCCAGATAGAGCACTTTACGTTTCTTGATGTTGAACTTCATTTGATTCTGATCCACCCAACTTGCTAGCCTTTATCTGCATCCTATCTTCAAGCGTGACCACACTTCCCCATAACTTGGTCATGGTCATCCGCGAACTTGGCCAGTGAGCTCTTCGCCCCTGCATCCAAATCATTGATAAAGATGTTGAAAAGCACTGAACCAAACACTGACCCCTGAGAGACACCACTGGCTACTTTTCACCAAGATGAGATGCATCCGTTCATTAAAAGTCTCTGGGTCCTACCCCGCAACCAGCTCCCTACCCACCTGTCTCATGGTTGAGTCCACAGTTGTCCAGTTTACTCACGAGAACATCATGGGATACTAGATCAAAGGCCTCTTGGAAGTCAAGGTATACAATGTCAACCTCCTCTCCCTTATCCAGGTGGTGAGTTAGCTGATCGTAAAAGGAGATGAGGTTGGTAAGACAAGACCTGCCCATGATGAAGCCATGCTGGCTGTTGTTCAGAATCGTACCTTCTGCAAGCCTATGACACATAGACTTCTTGATGAATTTTTCCAGGATCTTCCCTGGGATAGAAGTTAGACTGATTGGCCTGTAGTTACCTGGGTCGTCCTTCCTCCGTCTTTCTTGAAGATGGGCACAACATTTACCCTCTTCCAGTCTTCAGGGACCTTTCTGGAGTGCCACAAGTTTTGGAAAAGTTTTGCTAGTGGTCAACTTTTTTTGATTTAGGGGAATCTCCCCAGTAGATGTTTCATTTGCAGGTTGTTTATGTTTAGGACCTTGAGAGAGATGGAGAGTGCATGCCAGTATTGAATTTTGATGAAGCTATCTGAGTTTTCTTGACCCTCTCTGTAGTTTATGTACAAGCTCATAATCACCTGGTAATTTTGATATTGATGTTCCTACATGACGGTAAGATTTTGTGACATCACAAGGTCCTAAAAGAGCTTGTAAAGTGTTTGTTGAAACTTGTGCAAGAGGCACCTAACTGTCTAGAACAAAGATTAGCAGGTCCAACTGTGTCTGATATGATTTGAAATGCTTTTCCATCCCATTCTGTCCTGTTTCAGGAGTAGCAGTCCATTTGATGCTCTGCAAAATCTCTCTTCCTTTTTCAGTTGCTCTTCTCAATCCTCTCTTACTCTGTTAGAGGACTCGGCATAAACCCAGAACTGTTTCCAACACTGCTGGTGTCTGCAGTCTGTCCTTCACATGTGTAGGGCTTTTTCTCAGGGACTCCCTGTGGTTTTTCAGTAGTCTGTAAGGTTTACTGCTTGGTCTTTCAGATCCAGGGTTCCAGCTCCTATGGACTATGGATAGAAATTGTGCTGCTCTAGCTTGCATTTCTAGCCACTTCTTTTCATCCACCATATTTTAAAGCCAGTTGGCAGGCATTCTCCCAAGGCCACTGTGGGGAGCAGTGCCAGCTGCAGGTGCTCTCCCTTCGCTGCCACAGGGACCAGTGCAGGCTGTTGGCACTCTCTGTGGGCTGCCACTGTGGGGACCATTGCTGGCAGGGGCAGAATTCTAGTGCCTGCCTGCTTGCCTCTAACCCCAGGTAGGTCACGCCAGCCAACAGCTAGAAAAAGTTGCCAACCCTGTCCTAAATATCCTTTACTAGCCTGTCCTGTCCATTGTAGCTCTACGCATTAATGCTGCCATTATGTATCCGGCCAAAATTATCTGATGCATGTCAGTCTTGTCCTTGAATGGACAAATGAACAGACAAGAAGTAGAGGGGAATTTCCTACATATTTGTACTTGCATCAGATTCATTATCTATGGCAGGGGTGGGCAAAGTCCAGCCCATGGGCTGGATTGGGCCCATGGCGGACTCCATTTTCTAGCAGCCCCTGCCTGCGTTGCTGCAGCTGGTTTCCTTGGAGGCCCCAGGAGCAATGGAATCGTGACAGTGCAGGGCCAGGGTTTCCATGGCCCCAGCTGGCAGCGTGCACAGCAGGGCAGGGAGTTGTTCTGGAGCTGGAATCTTGTGGCAGTGACAGCGTGGTCTGGAGCCGGGGCAAAGTGGGCAGCAGATCACAGCTCTGCCTTGCCTCTGGACCACATCGTCACAGCTGTAAGGTCCCAGTCCTGGCCCCAGAGCAGTTTGCCACCCAGCCACGCACCCTGCCAGTGCTCCTGGGACAAGTCTCCATGGAAACCCTGTGCCCACGCTGTCATGGCCCTGCCGCTTCTGGGGTCTCCATGGAAACTGGCCACAGTGATGTGGGGAGGGGCTGCTGGGAAATGGAGTCCAGTCACTGGCCAGATCCTATTTGGCATCCAGAGACAGGAGGCTAGGCTACTGTGGTAGATAAGCATATCACACTGCAGTTTTGAATAGTTAATTACCAGGCCCTTTTAGTTCAGTATGATTTTATGGGTGCATTGTAGTGGTGCTGGACTCCTTTCCTGTAAGCTATAAGGAGTTTGTCTCCTCTTTACTTAAGTGTTGACAGCGGTGGGCGTAGCTGATGCAGCATTCCACTCAGTGGCTGTGGTGGTTATGATGAAGCATTCCTCATGCCTGCAGAGTTTCTTTCCCAAAAGAGAGCCAAGCCTAATGATTTTCTTTTTGAGAGCATGGCATTTTTTATCCCCAAGCTTGATCAAGCTTTCCATATACTTAAAGATTTGAGGGCAGCTCACTAATCCTTGGGGATTTCTGTTTATCACTTTTCTGGGAGCTCCCTGCCTCACAGGGTCCCTTCACCTTTTCCATCACTGACTTCTGAAATCATTCATTCTCTGAAGCCTCCAGAGACTCACCAAAATGTCATCAACAAAAGCAAGTGCATTAGATGCTTTTTGGCAGGTGGGATATTGGACAGTGCACTTGGGAGATGCTTACTACTCTTGGTAAGCCTCCTTTCCAGACTGTCTAGCCATTTAACTAGCATTTAGGTCAGGCAATGGAAATGCAAAACATGTTTGTCTGGGAGGAAGGATATAGGTTGGACTCCCAAAATCTCTGAGTCCAACTGCCAGCTGTTGGATTACTAGGTTTCCTGATGCCTAATTTGTCACCTTCCTGGGATTAACAATCACAGATACAGTCATTTATTACATGCATCAATCTACACTTTAAGTATTTTAATGAAAGGGGTTTTCCCCACTGCTATCTGAAGAATTTATGATAAGGAATTTCATCCAGATGGCCAGGTTTGATTAAAATTAACAGGCTTTATCTCTACATATGTTATTTAACAACTGTTTAACTATGATGGTCTTTAAGAGGCTGTTAAGTTTTGATCCTTGACACTGGGTACCATTCCTTATAGTAAAAGGTTTCAATTGCATTGTGTTACCATGGAACACACTTAGTAAGTATTCTCCTGTTTAGCTCAGGAGAAACTTGAATTTGGCTTTACAAGTCTGTTTTTATATAAGGTTAACCCAGAATTTGTATGATTTTATAAAGCAACATACTGTTCCTTTCTTTATACTAGATTAAGGTACTTAAATGCACAGGCTTCTAATTTATTCCACATAGTGCACATTTCATTGTTTCCCCTTATCATGAGAGAGGATTCGCTTGGACTAGCACATGGTCATTTAGTGACAGGAAATCTTAACTGTTTTTTTTGAGAGCTGTCTGCCTTCTGAGTAAATTGCAGAATCAGCATCTGTTTAAATTGTGAATTTTGGATGGCACTTAAAAATATAATTTACAAGCATTGGTCATTTGACCACTTTTTTTTTTAACGTAGATTCTATGTGGCAAACAAATACTATGGTGATGGGTACTTCATACATAAACTTTTCCAAATTTAAATCTCTCACAACAAAATGTATATACATCTTGGGATTCTTTAGTTCAGGGGTTCCCAAAGTTTTTATGCTGTGGCCTGGCAAACTGCGGCCTGGAAGTCGCAGCTGATCATGGCCGGAATTTCTGGTCGGAAGACAGGTAAGAATACCCCCACCCCACGGGCGGGGGGGGTGGGCCAAACCCTGTGCTACTGCAGGCCCAGCAAAGGAGCTGCTGTCTCTCCGCCTGATTCTGGGGCCGCGGTTTGCCAGTCTGCAGCCGTTTCTGGTCTGGCAGCCGGCCCAGCACTGGGCCGCAGCCCAAGGGTTGTGAACCCCCTGCTTCAGTTGACTAAATGTCATGTGATTTTGACTGAAATACAATTGAATGAATGGGACTTCAGCTGATCGGCTTTGAATTAATAAATAGTTTTATTAAACTTATACTTTTGTTTTAAATGTGTTGAAGGGGCATATTGGGTCATATTTGAAGCTCAAGGGAGCAGGTTAGCACTAAGTAGTAGAAGGAAACAGTTAAATGTTCCACCTGTTAATTTCAATAGATACTCAAAAGATGATTGATTTCCCACTCCAGATTTTTATATTAAAAAGCTGTCATGCTTTTAAAAGTAGGCAAGCTCTTTGAACTGCTGCATCTTTCTTAGTAAATTTACCAAATAATCCTCTTTTGTTCTTTTGTTTATACGTGCAGGTCTTATCCAGCCAATCCCCAGGAATAGCCAGTTCTTCCAAAATTATTTTAATAATGGTTTTGTGAATGAAGCAGACAGGCCATATAAGTGTTATTATTGTCACCGAGCATATAAAAAATCTTGCCACCTTAAGCAACATATCAGGTAAAACAAATGCAAGAAGAAAGAAATGTGTTCAGTAACTGATTTAATGTGAAATGGGTACAGCTAAAATAATGGAATAAACTGTAGAAGACTTTCATGTAGCACTCACTGCTGAGATTTCAGCTGTTCTATTTTTCAGTTTTTACCTACTATATTAAACAGTTAAGTTGACCCATGAAGTTGACTATGGAGGTGGGGGCTGTGTATGTTTTTGTAGTACTAACTTGACTATCCTTAAACAAACAAAAGCAAAAACAGCTTTTAAAGTAAATGCCTGTAGTAATGCATAAACCTTTGTAAAGTTACACATGAAAGCCCATGTTTTTTCCCTTTAAATATTCCAACAATGGGGATATTTTCATCACGTGTGCTGAGAGAGTAGCTGTAAGCAGTAATGCATTATCAGCTTCCAGCTGGATGAGCAGTAGAGGAGATGGTATGTTTTCCTAGTGGAATTTACAGATATTCATAGAGAAACAAAGAGACTCTGGGATCTTGGTTTTCCATTCTAGGTTCTGAAAGAGAACATACCATCCTAGTTGCAAATTTTTGAACCTGTTCCATCCACAAGCATGACCTCTTCTGCCTTATTCTCTTAAGCATGTCCTTGTCCAAGTTGTTTCGTCCCTAATCTGGCTCCCAGTTTCAGTCCTGTTCTCTTCAGACTTCTTATCCAGTTGTCAATCTCCATGACCAACTAGGCGCCATTTCCTCAAACACTAGCTTTTTGTCTGATTTCAGCCCCTCTGTTCCCACAGCCTTCCAGTACACATCCTATTTCACTTATTGGCCTCCCAATGCCAGTCTCCTCACCCCAGCTCTTAGTTGCAATATCCCAGTCTCTCCCTCTTCCTCATAATTAGTCATCTCACGCTAATTGACTGTCCCAGCTCCCATGCCCCCCCTCCAGTTCCTTTCTGCATTCTGATTGGGTACATCCTCTCCATCTTGCCTGAACATTGAAAGCATAATCTCCACTCCTTTCAGTTTTGGTGCATGGTCTGTAGCAACTTGGATTTGCGTGTGCAGAAAAAAAGGCCTCGATTAGTCTGCTCAGGATGGACAGAATGCACAGAAAATTTAATAATGGAACATTAGCAAAATCTCTGCTAACTATGTGCAAGCTGCAATTTTTCAGTTTAAAAAAAATTGCCTAAACCTGCGTGGATTTACACTTTAGCAAAAGGCATGTCTCAGGCACAACAGCCTTCCCGAGCCAGACTGGAATGCCTCATGCCTCTCATTAACAGGCATGAGCAGGTTAATTTACCATGGTTTAATAGACCACGGTTTAATAGACCACGTCTATACTAGTGATTCTCAACTCAGGTGCTGTGGCACCCTGGGGTGTCTTGAAATCCTTTTAAAGGTATAGCAGTATGCCACGTGGTGTTTGCAGTGTTAAGTGCACAAACATGATTTGCAAGATAAACCCAGCAATTTCAAATAAGAAGTAATAGTGTTAAAAGCATTCCGACCTGTTTTGGTCTTTCTGAGTTATTTGGAACAGAAGAATTGCTCTATTAGTTTTCCGTAGTTAAAAAATAAGTGAAAATTACTGTAAGAGCTGGCATTTTCTGAGGAATGCCTTGAGTGTAAAAAGGTTGAGAACCACCAGTTTACACGATCTGACTTACTGCTGCTTTAATGGCAGTGATGAAGTTGGCCCTTCTGGTGTAGCTGCTATTCTGTTAGCAGAAAAGAGTAATGTTCTGCTTTTGAACCACAAATGTCTCACTCAGAAGGCATAAGCTCTGTCATCTGAAGGTACCTTTTGTTGACAGAGCTGCATCCATACTGAGGCTTTGGTGGCAGAGCTATGTTAGCTACTGAGTAATCTTTTTCTCACCCTGATGTATTCTGCCAGCAGAATTCTGTAATGTAGAGAGAGAGGCTAAGAAAAGCTTGTCAGAAAGTTTTTCCACATGATTGGAACAAGTATTCCCTGAACTTTCTTGGAAGCAGTTGAACTGTTTTAACTAAAATTGGGTGAGCAAAACAAAGTGGGGGAAAAAAAGCACCCCAACCTGTGGCAGAAATTCAGCAAATAAATTTTTCAGGTCAAATTGTTCAACTCTAATTATAAGTAACTGAATATAAAGTCTTACTAGGTGGTACTTACAGACAGACCTAGAATAATACGAGTAAGTTTAATAATGTTGTTTTTCTTTTTGCAAGTGAAGATGACTGCATCCGGGGGGCGGGGGTGGAGAAAGAGAGAAAAGAAGCAGGAAAGGAAAAGGGAGGGAGAAAAGAGAAAGGTAAAAAGGGGAGAGGGGAAAGAGAGAGGAGGGGATGGAGGCTAAGTCACGTGGGTATGCAGGTGATTTATAAGCCCAATTTATGCCCTGAAGAATTTGCTGCAGCAGGAGCAGGAGAGTAATGAGGACTGTTTAATAATATAGCTTATTAAACCTTAGATGTTCAGATTTTGTTGAACAGAATTAAATGTCCTCTGGGCGGGTTTTTTGACTATTTCTTTTTTGTTTTGAATGACTTAAGAAATCAGACCTGTAATCTGCCTTAATATGTTTTCTCTTTAAAAAGGTCACACACTGGTGAAAAGCCATTTAAATGTTCTCAGTGTGGAAGAGGTTTTGTGTCAGCTGGGGTGTTAAAAGCACATATCCGTACGCATACTGGATTGAAAGCTTTTAAGTGTCTTATTTGTAATGGGGCCTTCACTACTGGCGGTAGCCTCAGGCGACACATGGGGATCCATAATGATCTTCGACCATACATGTGTCCATATTGTCAGAAAACGTTCAAAACTTCGTTAAACTGTAAAAAGCACATGAAAACACATAGGTAAGTGGTCAGCTTTTATTTTAATTTTTCAGTTTATTTCACTAGTCTAGCTAGAAGCTTTCTTGAAACCTCAGGATTGGTTTACAAGCTATTCCTAATTGTTTGGATTCTAGAACGTTAACTAAACTCTGAACCTTGAGTCCCGTTTAATTCATGCGTAGATATTACTTTCAGTATTATTCACTGGGCATGTCTACAACATGCAATTAAGGTGCAGCAATAAACATACCTGTCTTGTATGCATACCAGACCAACCTCTGGCTTCTTTACTTTTCATTCCATCCAGGAAGAGCACATACCAACTGCAGAAACTTCCTTAGCCTGACAAAGGGTTTTTGAACCCGAAAGCTTGCTTAATAATTGTTTTCCAACTATTTAAGTTGGTCTAATAAAAGAGATCAGATTCACCCAAAGAACCTTGTCTGCAATAAACTTCAGCACTTGCTGTGCCCGAGTTTATTGCTCCTGGGCACACCGTTTGAATGTGTGCCTGGGACCACAGCATGTTGAACTCGGATGGAGCAGCTCCAGCTGGGACAGGGCAATGGGGATTAGCCTGCCAACCCTGGGCTGCTCCTGCCCAGCTCAATGTGCTGTGGAGGGACTGGCTGAGTCACAAGAGTGCTCCAGTGTGGGGCTAGGTGGTAGGCAGCCCCTGCGCTGAAGCACCTTTGTGCTCCAGCCAGCTGCGTCAGCATCTACATGTGTGTTGCTGTGGAGTTTATTAGTGTCTTGTGGCATGACAGTACTGCACATGTAGACCCTGAGACATTTGTTGTGGAGCTAATTAGGCCACTCCACAGCAAACATCTCATGTAGAGGCACCCACTAAGGAGATTTTTGATAACAGTTTTACTCTGATAAATTTTACATGGTCAGAACATTTTCTTGGTGCATATTGGCTGGGGATAAAAGTTTGTAGAAACAAAACAGGTGTAGAAACGGCTCTTTTATTTCCAAAGGTGTAGTCATTTGTTCATCATCATAATATGTAGTTATTGTTGTCAGTGCTGGATCTTGTTACTAGTACAAAGTTTAACTCAAGTAAAGATTGACCAAATTTAGTGCCATGTCTTAAAAATGCAATGCATATTTTCCCTCTTCCCCCTCCCTGTCTCTTCCCCTGCACTTTCTCTGTGAGTAGAGACTAGCTCTGTAACAGATACTAACTGTATGACTTAGGGAGGGAAAAGCCCTTGTTAAAACACAGCATAAGAATGTGCTGGGCTTACTTATGAGGGCAAATTATGAAAATAGTAATACAAATTACCATATAGATCATTAGGAAAGGAATTGAAACAAAACTGAAAAGAGCATTTTGCCATTTTATAAATCCATTATGTGCCCTGCCCTACATCTTGAATACTACTTGCAGTTCTGGTCAGCCCATGTCTAATATGATAAAATAGAACAAGAAAAGTTATGACAGAAGGTCAGCAGTGATTATCAACAGTATAGAATAACTTCTGCATGAGGAGAGTCTGGAAAGACTGGTGTTTTGCCACTTGGTAAAGAAATGACAGAGATGATACAAGACATGTCTGTAGAATCCTAGGATATTTTGGGGGACAGTGTCTTTTATTGGATCTTGCCTTTGCATATTTCTTACATATCATAGCTATGACCAGTGGCATAACTAGTATGAGGCAATTGAGGCAGTTGCCCTGGGCATCAACCTGTGTGAGGAGCACAGAAAAAAAACTGTTGATGCTTCAGCTGCATGATCACAACTGTGTTAGCTGCCACACACACAGGCTTTTGGTTGCTGGCTGGGGTGTCTGGCCATGTCATTATGCCTCTTGCTACAACATCGCTCCTGTAGCAGGCTACATGCCTCAGGGGTTGCAGCCTAGCTGCAGGCAGTAATGAAATGATTGCAAGCCTGCCTAGGAGGACTGGGCCAGCTGATGAGAATAATTGACTGGCCCAGAGGGGGTTAAAAGCTCCCAGGAAAGATAACTGGAGAGAGAAGGAAAGCTGCATGGCTAGAAGATGCAGCACCAAGCCCAGGTACTCTCCCAGGGTCTGGGAAAAAATAGCAAAATGTGGTTTAGTCAGTTAATTGGTTGTTTTATGCTTCATGTTATTCCCTATGTGGGCAGGAAAACTAAAGACTGTGGAGTGTTATCAGACAACCTGCTACAACTCTAGCACTAGTTATAAAATTCTAAACAGTGTAGATAAAGTAAATAGGGGACTGTTATTTATTATATATCTCAGTACTCAAAGTAGGAGGCACCCAATTAAATTATCTGACAGGTTTAAAATACACAAAAGGAAGTGCTTTTTCAGTTGATGCATAATTAACATGTGCAACTTATTGCCCCAGGCTACTGTGGAGCCTGATTGTATAATCTGGTTCAAAGGCAGATTAGACAGGTTTTGGCAGATGTGTTGATTTGGGGGTTTGATATCAGATCAAGTCCAGAAATACACAAAAGTAAAAACCTTCAGCTTCCCTGGACATTCCATTGCTGACCTCAGAATAGCTGCTACAGAATTTAAACAATAAGTTTGAACACAAAATTGTGAAACAAGAAATCATCTACAGACTAGATGGTGATTTAAATGTGGTCTAAAAAAGGACTGTGGTGTCTTACCCCATTACCTGGATTAGTTTCTGTGACCCTTATGTCTCTAATCTCTCATGTTGTAAGTCTTTGTTGTTCTCTTCAACTCCCTCTGCTTTTCTCAGCATTGCCATCTTTCCTTCCTTTACCCGCCCCCCACCCTTTCCATGACTTCTATATTTAAAACACTCCTTCTGTGTGATGGCCTGTTCTCTGCATCTCTGCAAGGCAGTAAGCTGTTGCTCATGAAAGCTTATGTTTCAGAATCAGTGCGCAAGGTATTCTCTACTTTGCCTGACGTGATGCAGCTCAGCTTGCATAATGCTGCTGCTAGGGTACTACACTACTGGAGGTGGTCTGGATCCAGCCCTTGAATCTCCTTGCGGACTGGACCCAGCTCACAGGGAGCCCCTGATCCAGTGTGGGAGTGCTAAGAGTTTGTGACCCCTGCTCTAAAGCATCCCCTACTTGCCACTGTTGGAAACAAAGTACTGAGCTACATGAACCTTTGGTATGACTCAGCATGGCTATTGTCTGTTTATTATTTACTGGTGTAAGAAACTTTACTTCCTTTTTTCTCAGATATGAACTTGCACAACAGCTTCAGCAGCACCAACAGGCTGCTTCAATAGATGATTCCACAGTAGATCAGCAGAGCATTCATGTTTCTACACAGATGCAAGTGGAGATTGAGAGTGATGAGTTACAGCAATCAGAAGCTGTTACAACAGATCAGCAAGCTATTTTAGAACTAGATCAACAGCAAGTAGTTGGGACAGAAGAAGCAGCACTGGGGCAACAATTGGCTGATCAGCCATTAGAGCAAGATGAAGGTAAATGTTCATAACATGAAAAATATGCCAAATATGAGAAGTTTAGAATGAGTTCCTGAATTATTGAAAATTTCCACAAATTTAGTTTTTTAGGACAATTGAAATTAGAAAAAATACATGTATTTTGTGTAAAAGTTCGATTATTTAAAAATTTAATTCTTACCCTTTATTATTATATAAAACTTATGTAAAAACATTTTGTCAAAATTTTGCTTTCTGTATTTGGCTAGCAAATCTAATGCAAATATTGAACAAATATGCAAGAGAATACTTTGTAGAAAGAAAACGTTATACAGTAAGATATCTGGTAACTGGCACCTTACAAGCCAGCATGCTCTGTTAACCAGCATGCCAGCTTGTAAGGAAAAGTGAAACCAGAAGTGCCCACCGTGGCACTTCCGGTTTCTCCGAGCCCCCATGGCCAGGGGCAAAGCAGCCCGTGCTGCCAAGGTCCCATAGCCTGGGGGCACAGTAGCCTATGTGGGGATGTGCGAAGCCCCATGGGAGGGCAGCAATGCAGCTGGAGGGGCAGAGGGATGCAGCGGGAGAAGCGGCAGTCGGGGCTGCTCAATTAACCAGCATATTTTGTTATCCAGTATTCCCCCATTCCTGAGCTTTTACTGTATAACATCACTATTGTTGATACGTTGCACACCTTTTAAGGTTGTTACACAGCAATGCTTACGACCAATAGAGAAAACACAAAAATGTTGCTTGTTATATTAGTATAGAGCAGCTGTAGTGGTGAAATGAGATGTGTATTTTTGTTTGTTTTCACTCTTTAATAGAATTGATTGGTAAAAACTATATAACGCCCAAACAAATAAAATGTATAGTAAACAAAGTGGAGATTTAAAATCTCCAAGACTTCCTGTCAGGTGGTGATGATTTTAATTTGGTCTAAAATGGCTCGGTAATGACCTCTAAAATACAATTATTTTGGAGCAATCATTTACATTTTCTTTTCTTGAATTTGTGTTCCTTGTTTCAGATAGGTTTGTGACATCTCAGCACACTTTACAGGAAAACATGAATCAATTTGATCAGCAAGCTATAGCACAGCAGTCATTTGATCAGCAGGGATTATCACAAGGTTAGAAATAAATAAGTTTTATAATGAAAGCTTTTTGTAAGCCAGGACTTAAAATATTGGTATTATAAGCTACCTCAGATCTGTGCCCCTAGAATATGGATAAATGTGTGTCTAGTTCGTGCATGCACAAAAAAGAGACCTAATGAAAAATTATCTTTATTGTTATTTTGGATTAAAAATAATAAAGTATTAGGATATGTTTGCTTAAATTTTCTCTAGATTTTCTTTGAACTGATTTCTGTCTTGTTGTTAGAACATTTTTATTGCATCCCTTTTGTTGCCATTAACTTAAGTTAATGGGAGTCTTCATAACTTTTGCCTCAGCTTCACAAAAGTAAACTTGCAGCAATAATTTTTGCCTCCCTCACAGGGTATTGTAAAGATTAATGAATGTCTGCAAAGAATTTTTACATTGTTGCTAAAGATACCCTATACATAAAATTGTAAATTTGATGTACTGTAATATATGCAAATTCAAAAATCTTTTAAAGTTTACAAAAAATATGCGCAGAAGTTAAAATACCAAATTGAAAGATTAGACCAGGTATGAGGAGGGGCAAGTAATGTATTACTGAGGGAATATTGAGTGCGGGAAGGGTGATAAATTAATCAGAATGGCCTGACTCCTTTAACCGTTTGTTATCAGATTCCTAAACTATAGAACTAGTTCAAGTTACAGAATTTTTTTCAAAGAATAGTTAAGTCATTCGATTTTAGATGGATTCTGTTGAAAAATACTTTCAGTTGTTTCTTCTTTAAAATGTTTTTGTTCAGGAGTTTGCCTCTTCAGTGAGCAACAAAAGTTTTAAATAGGGCTGGAAGAAGGCAGTCCTGGTATCTTGCCCAGGCCTGGGAATGAGGGCCTCATTTCTTGCAGGCTTTAGCAAGTAGAAAGGAGAAGAGAAGAAAGGAAAGTGTGATGGTGGAATTTATAGCTGCATAAAATAAGGGCATGGGTAGTGGATGATGGAAATCAAAGAGGTGTCTTTTAGTTAAGATATCTGGGGGGTTTTTAGTAGTTACCAAACTTCTAGGGTTGATGTAACTTTTTAAAAGTTTCAGATGTAAAGAAAAAATCTCCCTCCCTCCCCACCTCCACTTGTTTGTGTGGTTTCCATTACCTTCTCCCCTTGCTCTGCACAATGCAGACAGGGCACAACACCACTCCTGTGCTCTTTTACCTCTTTCTATGCATCAGTGTACCTTCAGCATATTCCGTACCTTGTCTTTATATCCTTTCATACCCCATGTAACCTTTTATCTTCCCTTCTCTCCTCTCATTCCATGACTAGCCATTTTTTGCCCTACATCCCTTCCATTCTGTCCCAGTCTTTGTCCATCTCCAGTCTTCCATTCAGAGACTGGAGAACAGAACTTCTTCCATCATTCTATGTACACTCCAGCTCCTAGCACCATAACACTCCCCTTCTTTACCTTGTCTCAGAATTCTTTCTAGATGCATTTTATATTTGGTCTCCCATACCTTAATTCTGATTTAGTTCCACGGGTTCTGCTGCAGTAAATCTTGTAATCATAATTAGTTGAAAACTCTTATTCTGATATTGGCTAAGTTTGCTGGTGGGGGGAAAACATTTGGAAGGCAGAATTCACATCTTTTTCACTGAGGGACTTTAGGATAGGTTTAAAATTTGGACTTTAGGGGAGTACTTGTATCAGTTTTATTGTGGGGTGGCTATTGATGATCTGCATTTGTATGTGAATGGTTTAAGTTCCTGTTGTTTCCCATTAATTCTATTTTAAAATTACTTCTATGTCTAGTTTTGCATCTTTCTTCACAAAGATTTTATTGTCTTTTTTTAATGTATTGTTCAAGCTAGAATAGTTTATTTCGTATTGCAATGGTTAATGTACTTAAAGTTGTTTTACATTTTATATAAGATTTGTGAGAAGAAATTAAGCCATTTGATTTACTAAATCCTGATTTCAGGTCTTTTTATATACTTGGTATTTTGACATCAGTTGCATCTTAGTTTTTTTCCGAATGAAATGGAAAGAGAATGAAGAAATGCACACCTGACCACCAGTATTTGAATTGTCAGTGATTTCATTAGTCATCTCAAACTTACGAAAGTGGTACAGGAAACCGGAACATGATTTATTTAAAAAAAAAAAAAAATCTCATTTGTATAAGATTTTTCCTCTTCTACTTGGAATCTCATCCACAGATTCCCTACTCTTTGAAGTTTCCTTGAAGATTCTGGAGCCCTTCAAAATTTTTGAATTTCAGGTAGGTAAGCATATGTGCGGATGCATGCGTTAAATTGGTCGACCCTCTCCCTGTGTCTGCATCTGTGCTTCATGCTCCTCAGTTCCTTTTTCCTGCCAATTATGTAGGACATTTAAGTCCAAGACATTGTGTCTTCTCTTTCCTTGGTACTGATAGGCTACATCAAGTGTAGGCAACCTCTGGTACAGGTGCCAGGGTGTGGCACTCAAAGGCATTTTGCTTGGCACGTGCACCACAGGATGGATGGCAGGGAAGGGGTTGGGGTTGCACTGCCATAAAAAGGATTCGGGCACTCATGGCTCCCCAGCTGTCCACCTCTGGTATGCCAACATCTTACCAAGTTGAGACTGTAGGTGTTTTTGGCACTCTGCCCAAAAATGTTGCCAACCCCCTGGGCTACTTTCTTGTTAAATATATTGGTTTGATACTGAACTTCATAATAAAACAATGTTGAAGTGTTTTAAATCTTCATAATTGTTATTTTAAAAGACAGTCTTTGGGTTTGGCAGTAAAGAAAGCCAGGTCTTTACATCTACACAGACTACAGGATTGTACGCATACATTTTAAAAAAATTTTGAAGTTGCATCCTCTCTTTAAGATGGCTGTTTTCTTCGGCAGTCCTTCTTTTCTTAAACCATTTGACTTGTCTAGTGTGTTGATCATGTCTGCTGTTGGCAGTGAAGTCATCAGTGGAACCACTTATTCCCTCAAACTAACTTTGAAGTCACTAAGAATGGTAAAGGGCCAAGATTTTTTTTATTAGCTTTTACATGTGCATGCTACACACCCTTTCATTTGAAATCTTCAGAGGTCAGTAGCAAGCAAAGGAATCTGTTTTATAGAAAAGTGATTTTTTTTTTTTTTTTTTTTTTTTTTTTGGATCATTTGGCATCAAATGCTTTGTAGTCTAGGGCATCATTTCACTGCTTCCTCCTTTGACTCTTTCTGTGATCTCAGTTAGATGCTACTAGTATAGATTATATAAGTAGTGGAACAGGTTTTCCAGACTGCTGTGATCTGTAATAGGATGATTCTGAAACCATATGAAGATATCCTGGGTGTTAGACTTCTATTTTGCTTTACCCAGGCATTCTATCAAATAACATGTTGAAATCATGATTTGTGATCACCATTATTTCAGCTGCAGCTCATTCGGGCCCTGAAGTTTTTGTTTCCAGTGATGCAGACTGTTGATTTGACCAACTTTCAATAGATTGAATAGAAAGTACAAAAGGAGAATATTTATTTGGGACTCTTAATTCACATAATTGCTTTTAAGTACCTTAGAACTGGTACCATTTGAAAGGTTGGTTAGTTGTGGAAGTAGCCTCCAGATCATGATTGAGTGCTCAAAAGTTTTTCCTGTTAACAGTCCATGAGTTATTTGTGATTCTTGTAGGCAAAACATACTTCTTTGATAGTGTATTGATCTCCAGAGTGTTTTGTTCTGCAATACATCAGGTGGAAATGGACAGGAAGTAATTTTGGATGATACCCGCAAGACAAGGCAGTAAGTTTCAGATCTAAATAACTGTATTATAAATAGTACAGATTTTCATCCAGAACTGAAGGTGACTCTCCTGTGATACAGCTTTGCCTAATTCCAAATATCTCTCCACTTCTATACCTGGTGAAAGAAAATATGTAAGGGTCTTCAGGACAAATAGTATAGCGATAAAGCATAGGATTGAGAATCAGAAGATCTCTGTTCTATTTTTGGCTCTGGTACAGGTTTCTTGTGTGACCTTTGGCTGTGTCACTTAATGGCTTTAGGTCTTAAACTGCCCATCAATACAATAGAAGCACAGTGGAGGTATATTATGTAGTAAATACTACCAACATGCACAGGATAGAGAAGTTGCTTATTGAACTCTCAGAAATAATTAAAACATGAGCATTGGAAAATGTTCCTAATAAAAGGGATTAAACAAACCAGCTTGTATCACATCTCCTGCTTCTTATACCCTTAATTCATGCTTATTCCAGAATTTCTTTTTGTAAGTGGTGTTTAATTCTCCAGGACGACCCATTGACACCTTGGATTGTACTGGTCATTTTTCTGAGGACTTTGTAACAAAGTCTGAGATTTGTTCAGGGATTTTTTAGCAATTTTTCAGGATGTCCATATCATGTGAAAGAAATAATGTTCTGATATATTAATACTTTTTGTCTACTGAAAAGGACACTGAATTTATAGGTGGCCTTTTCCATTATACTTAACATTTATTTCCCTATTTTTTGCTCATGTTCTTCAGAACGCCTTATATAATCCTTGCTTTGAATTTCATGTTTTTTCTCAAAAATGCCGTCAATGGGTTCTTTGAAATAGTTGCTTTGCCTACAAAATTTGTCCCTAAACATCCTCTAGATTATCATTGTAAACCTTTTTGTGTGACTGTTCTTCAGGCTTCTTTTTAGTCTGTCACTTCTTTCAACCAGGAAACTAATTTAGCTGTAACTGAGCTAAGCTTTCTGATTATCATAAAAAGGAAAGGAAAGTTATTTTGAAGTTGAGTACTAAGAAACTTCTGATTTCATATGATGCATCCCAGTAAATAATGTGTAGTAATCTTCAAATATTTTGTAAGCATTGCTATTTTGCCGTTGATGGTACTGTGGTTGTCTATGGTTATACAATTCTACACTGTTCTCCTATTCTTCTTCTCTGTTGTCCATTACAGGCAAACTGCATAGAAAGCATAACATTTAATTCCCACTACTTTTTTTTTATAATAATTGTGGCCTCAT